GACTTTTAGATTTCACGAGAGTAAAATAATAATTAAAAGAATTGGAGACTGGCATCAGTTGCTTAATTTTTGAAATGAGTGCAACAAATAGAAATATCCACTACTATAAGAAATAAACACTTCAACACTTTGATATATTCCTATATTAGTATAATATAGCATAGCATTATGCATGTGTATATGCATGCGTTTTCAAGGGGATCCTTTCAAGGAGTATAATTTGAAAAAAGAAAAGTTTGTATGTTTCAGTAAAAGAAATATTACAAAGTTTCTTTCAGTTAGAATGTAAGATTCATCTAAGCAGGAACTTTGTTTTTCTTATTTTTCTCCAATTACCTAGAATCATTCTTAGTATCTAAAGGGCATTAAATATTTGTTGAAAAGTGAAGGACTCCTGCTCTATTGCCATCAATTTTCTCCATTTTTGATTACAGGATATCTCTGGTAAAACACTATCAGAAACCAAATATGGTACTGGATATTTTTTATCTATTAAAGTATGTTTGGAAGGGCCTCCCTGGTGGCGCAAGGTGTTATGTCTCAGCACTATGAAGCTATCAGCAACCACTGCAGCATGAGTTCAATCCCCGGCTGGCCAGGAAGCAAACCCGCATGGCGCAGGAGACCTCTCCTGTCTTGCCAATTGCTCCCCTCAGCAGTGTTTTTCAGTCAATCCCCCTGTTGTGCTGCCCACTCTGTATCTGGTTAATCCTCTCATCCTACCCCACCCCCGCACTTCTGGCCTACACCCCAGCAGTGTATGCATAAATAAATAAATCTTTAAAAAAAAATATGTATGGGAATCTGCCACATATCATGTGGGAAAAAAACTGGAAGGCAACAGGCTCGCATTTTAAAACCCCACAAAGATGATAGTAGTAAAATTTTTGAAAAGGTTGCTAAATTATTTTTATAATAAAAGCAAGTAATTTAAACAGATATTCTAGTCAGTGTGCTTCAAACTGTATATCCCAATGCATTAGTAGGAATAAAATTTGATGAGTTTCTGCAAGGTTGATAAATGAGATAGAAGACCAGAGAATAGAAAACATCAGTGTGTGGGCCTCCCCTTGTGGTGCAGGGGGTTGAGCACAGTGCTGTGAAGCTGTCTGCAGCCTCTGCAGCACTGGTTCGATCCCAGATAGCCAGCGAGAATCCCACATTATGTGGCAGACCTCTACTGTCTTGCCCGCTGCTCCCCTCAGCAGTGTATTTCAGTCAGTCTGCCTGTTCTGTTCCCTGCTCTGTCTCTGGTGAATCCTCTCACCCTCCCACGCATCTGGCCTGTACCCCGGTTCTTGTATGCATGAATAAATAAATCTTTAAAAAAAAGAAGAGAAAAGAAAAGAAAACATCAGTGTGTATCAATCACAGTTAAATTTTGAGATGAAGAAGTTATTAAATAATTCCTGGAGTTAACACACACACACGTAATGAATGAGGAATATATTTTGGACTGTGAATCTCAGTGGCACAAAGTTTGTGATCTATGTATAGAGACACTTTCTTTGCTCTAGTGAAATATGAAGCCATGTCCAATCTCACTTCATTTCTTCTAGGAATGAATGCCTAACAATTTCTTTGGGATGATGCTGTATAATAAATGACTAAAATGTAGTGCAACTTATTAGATGGTTTTACGTCAACTGTTTTTTTTTTTTCCCCAAATCAATGACGACTTTTATTACTGCATCTTAAAGATGTATCACAAATCGATCTAAGAAAGCATCCATTATCTTACTGCTCTGTAGCTGGACAACTTAAATCTTATTCATCAGCTTGCTGAACTGTTCCTTTTTCAGAAACATAGATACCATCCAAAAATTTCCTGATAGCCTTGTTTTTAACTGTCGTGGCTTGCTGAATCAAAGCAGCTGAATTTGATACAAGTTCAATGTCGTTTCCTTCAAGAATCAACTCATCTTTCTGGGCTTGAGATACTGAACAAGCAACACCTTGTCTCATCTGAACCCTGTGAATGTATTTTTCGCCCAAGAAATTTTGGATTTCAACAAGAGACCCATTCTCCTGAATAACAATGTTGATAGGGAAGTGAGCATACACAGACCTCATCTATAACGGAAGCCCAGTGTAACACCCTTGATCATGTTTTGTACATGACTACAGATAGTGCGAACAGCAGTCAGTTCCTTTCTATTTCCCCACCATTTGTCAACCCGGAGCCTCTTCTTTTTCTTCCCAAGCAAACTGAGTTTGACATTGATGTGATTGAAGTCCCTCCGCAGGGTGCCTCTGGGGCCCTTCACAATAACAGTGCGACCCTTCAGGGATATGTCAACATTTTCTGGAATGTTGACAGTCTGATTGCTGAGAATGGTCTTCATTCTCGCAGTAGATGCGGCAAAAGCTTTACGTCAACTGTTTTAATGAACTTAATCATTAAAGAAAGTATTATTACTCAATAAACATAATTTCAAATAGTCTCAACAAGGAGGGTGGTAGGAAAGAGTAAGAGAAAACAAAAGACACTGAGAATGTTGAACTTTGCCCACTGCTCTCCTTTTTTACTTCAGGGAATCAGTGATGAGTCCAATTCCTGATCCTGTGATATGGACTCTTGCATGAAAAAAGTTCAATTTTCATTCCTGTTGAGCAATCACTTGTTTTCTGGGCTAACTTTTTCTGGTTTTGTGGTCTGACCATTTGGTGATTTCCATAATTGTATTAATTATGTATAAAGATCTTGTCTCTCTTGTGTGAATGGTGACAGACAATTTGGTTTGTTATTCTTTTCTGTCTGTCTATTTTGAGCTCAAATCAATTAATATTCATACCCACTAGGAACTGAATAGCTCTTTGATATGAACCAGTGACTTTTGTAATTCTGTGTTTATTCTGCACCCATGGTTTAAATTTTAGATTTGAAGCAAAATTCTGTCTTTGTTTACATGTCTATGCATATATAATACAGAAAGGACTTTACCTCTCATTGTTTGAGTATGTAACATTTCCCTATCTCAGGATAGCATTACCAAATTAGATTGTAAATTTTCTTGAAGGAACTCTATACTAATTGGCTTAGAAACAATCATTTGCATGTATCGAATATTAAAGAAATTCTCAGAAATTAAAGAAATTGATACTCAATTGAATTATTCAGTTCTAAATTGATATTAGATTAACTTAATGGTTATTCGTTGTATAACTAGATCATTTCTAAGTAAGATAAAATATTGAAATATTAGTTACAAAGAATAACTTAAAGTTTGTTCTTTTTTCCCTTTCACTTGTATATATTACAAAGAGGCTAGAAGGTTATGAAATGTATGTTCATGAGCTCCTCCATAAGCCTGCTATAAAATGCCGGTATATGAGTAACAGTTCACAATTATTCATTTCCTTTTTCATTTGTGAAATAAAAGTAACTGGCTAAAAAGTATAACCGGTATATATGAGTTGGATCCCCTCCCCAACCAGGGAGCTACCCATGTGGTGCAGCAGACCTCCCCTGACTTGCCCCGCTACTCCCCTCAGCAGTGTATTTCAGTCAATCTACCTGTTCTGTTCCCCCTTCTGCCTCTGGTAAATCCTCTCACCCCCTACACCTCTGGCCTGTACCCCAGTTCTTGTATGCATAAATAAATAAATCTTTTTAAAAAAGAATTTGTAAAATTAACCATAGATGTCAAATGGGAAAAAGTAATGACCAGGCACTAGATCCTATTGATATTCTAGTATGGATTTGTAAGCAGAATTTTCTATAGTAAGACACAAACAGGGCCCACTAACTTGGTCAATGCTTGCAACTAGAAGTCAACTTCTGAACAAAAGGAAGGCCTTGTAAACCAAGAAAAGAAAATTCTACATAGGAAAATATGTACCTCCACCCTGTCAGTAGAACAATGACTCATGTTTGAAGTGAAAAACCCTGTGGCAAGAAACAAAAGAAACATCCAAAAGTCCACAGACCAAGTCCCTGTTATGTTTTCAAGTTGTAGGAAGAAGGAGCATGAGATAATAACCCTACTGTACCTTCCTCTTTATAGGGAACTTTTAGGGTAAGAGATTCAGATGACCTTTGGCCCTTATATCTTCCCAAATACAGATAGCTATATAACATCAAGGGATTGCTCTAAAGTTATAAACAGTATTTTTCCTTTGTGAATTAACTAAATGTGTTAGAAATCAACCTCCTTTAGTTAATGAAAAAGGTTAGAAATTTACTAGATGTTTTGTTTCCTTTGTTAAGAAAAAATAATCATGTATATCTATATATGTGCCTTACCTGTATAAACCAAGGCCAAAAACTCCAAGAATAGGCACCAGTCACTCAAAGAAATCTGTTATTGGTCACTCTGGCCTGGAGCCTCAATTTGGCTCTGAATAACCTCTTAAAAATTTTTCTTTTACTAAACTTTAAATCCATTTCACAGTGGCGATTGTTTCAGTTGACACCCTGCAATTTAGGCATTATTATATTCTTTTTATATATGGGGGAACTGGAGCTTACATTAGTTGTTGTGACCAAATTAAAACTGTTAGTAAGTTGCAAAGCTAAAATGGAAAAAAAAATGCAGCACTTGACTCCAAAGCATGAGTAACTTATCATTACAATGCTCTGCCTAAGACAGCTTTTCTATTTTAAAAACCATTAGAGAAACCCATGAAAATGAACCCCAAATGGAGTCCATATTCTGTTATAGGTTTTAACTTTTTAATCCATGTTGACGTGTCTCTGTAGATCACTTTTTGCATTTCATTGGTTTTTTTTTACTCTATTGCATGCCAATTATGAAGTACATTTAGGGACTTATGTGTTGTGTTGATGGATTTTTCTGTGATAATATTTTCTGAGAATGTGACAGATGTGTAACCAGAGGCTTTGTAAATTAACTCAATGACATACTCTTGAGCCCCACAGATGAAGAACTAAAAAAGAACATTTTTATCAGCCAATATATTGAGGGAGAAAAAAAAAACTATACAAATAAAAAGAGATGTAAATCAGTGAATTTTTAAATAATTTATTTCATTGCATTCTACTTGGAAATTGCTTGGGAGAGTTTAAAACTGCTGCTGTACTCAGATGTTCAATAGCTATAGTTTTCAAAGTGTGTTCTTCTGATCAGGAACAACATCACAAGGGAACTTGCAACAATGGATATTCTTGCGCTCCACCCCAGACCTACTGATTAGAACTTCAGGGCTGGGCATAGAAATCTGTGTCTTGAAGAACACTCTGTTGAATCTGACTTTTGCTACAGTTTGAGAAGCACTGTATTATGAAATCACCTCAGGTTTTCAGCCTCTGTTCCATGAACTACATGCTTTTCTGAGTCTCAGGTATCTTTTGTTATCTTTCTCTTGTATGGTCTTCTTGTTGAATAGCCTTTGAATGGGAATAGAAGAATGGGCAGCAAAAGCTTAGTTTTTTCTAGTTTAGGTTATATCACAAAATAGGAGATCCAGAGGGAGCTGTTATAATTATTAACTCAGTTTCTTCCAATAATAACATCTTGACAAAATGCACTTCATTATCAAAATCAAGAAATTGATATTTACACAATCCAACAAACCTGTTCAGATTTTATCAGTTTTACATGCATTAATTTGTGAGTATGTATATATTTTGTTCTATGTAATTTTATCACATATATAGATTTATGTGGCATCACCAGTCAAGATGCAAAGTATTCTATCACAATCATCCCTTGTGCTATGTTTTTATGGTCACACATATCTCCTTTTATACTAACCTGTGGCATTTTAAATATCATCATTATGCCCATGAAATTCATCCAACTTGTTGCCAGTATCAACAACCAATTCCTTTTTTATTGTTGCATAGTATTTCATAGTACATATGTGCCACGACTTGTTTAACCAGTCATCAGTTGAAGGATATTTGGATTGTCTCCAGTTTTTGGTTACACAAATAGCAATGAGTATTCACATGAAAATTTTTATTGAACATAGATTTTTGTTTTTTGGTTTCTCTGGGATAAATGCCCAAGCCTGTATTGCTGGGTCATACAATAATTGCATGTTAGTTTTATAAGAAACAGACATATGTTTCCATAGTAACCATACAGACCATTTTATTTCCCATCAGCAATGTATGAGTGACCTAGTCTCTCCACTTTCTCTCCAGAATTTGCTGTTATCACTATTTTTTACCACAGTCATTGTGATAGGTATATAGTCATTATTTTAATTTGCATTTCTCTAGTGGCTAATGGCAATGAATATTTTTTCATATGCTTTTTTCCCATCTGTATATCCTCTTTGGTAAAATTTCTGTTCATGTATCATGTCCATTTTTCAAATATTGTTTTTTAATGTTTAGTTTTGAATTCTCTATATTTCTCATGTACCAGGCTTTTGTTGAGTATGTGGTTTGTAGATATTTTCTCCTGTCTGTCACTTTTCTTTTCATCTTTTTCACAAGATCTTTTTCAGGACGAATTTTTACATGAAATCGAATTCATAATTTTTTCCTTTTATGGATCATATTTTTTAATATTAAGTCTAAAAACATTTTACACAGTCTTAGGTCCTGAAAATTTTCTCCTACAGTTTTTTTTCCCTATAGTTTTACAATTTCGAGTAAATTTTTGTATATGTTGTGAGGATTGAGTACACAATCTCTCATTTTTTTTTTTCTTCGTTATGTGTATACAAGTATTCCAACACCATTTTAAAGAAGGTTAAAATTTATCTACAGAATCACTTTTGCACCTTTGTCAAAACTTAGTTTGGCATGTTTGCTTACTTTTCTGAGTTCTTTATTCTGCTCCAGTACCCAACTGTCTTTGATTACTATAGCAAGACAAAAAGCCTTAAGAACACTTTATTCCTCCCACTTTCTTCAACTTTTTCAAGATTGTTATAGTGCTTCTAGGTACTTTGCATTCCCATAAAAGTTTTAGATTAAGTTATCTACTGAAAAATCCTTGCTGGTACATGTTACCAGATTTAGTGTGGTGAAGAAATTAAGGAACCACAATAGTTTGAAGTACACTAAAATTAAGATGTGTTAACTTTCAAAATAGTCATCTTCTCTCTGCACCTCAGTGTATTTCTCCTACAACTATCAAGTTCTTGGGTGAGTAGTGTATCTCCATTAAGGTGTCCCTAAGCATCTCCCTAGTCAATTCATGCACATCCTCAGTCTGGTTATTTTTCCCTGCCAAATTCAATGATTTCTGTAGGACCAACCATGAGTTGTGCCATGTTTAATAAGAATCTCCTGACATAACCTACTGATTGAAAACACAATTTAATTAAAAAGAAAACTTGGAGAAATGGAGAGTCTGAAATACAAAAAGTGGATATAAGCACAACTGACAACTGTATCATGTCTACAAATAATCACTGTGAATACAGATATGCCAACCTAGAAGCCAGCTACTGTATTGTCATTGTGGATGACCCTTAGCCTGTGCAAGGACAGAATCATCTCTCTCCCTACATTCAAAAATATATGAGGGCCTCCCCGGTGGCGCAGCGGTTGAGCACTGGGTTGCGAAGCTGCCCGCAGCCTCTGTGGCGCCGGTTCGATCCCCGGCTGCTCCCCGGCCACTGGAGGAGGGTCCCACATGGCGCGCAGACCTCTCCTGCCGCCCGCTGCTCCCCTCAGCAGTGTACTTCGGTCCTTCTGCCTGCTCTGCTCCCCGCTCTGGCTCTGGTGAATTCTCTCACCCTCCCGCTCTTCTGACTGTACCCAGTGCATGTATAAACAAAACAAACAAACAAATAAATAAATAAATAAAGCATGCCTCTATAAAAAAAAATATATATATATATATGAGTTTCCCCAGCCCCAAAAACCTTGCCGTATTGCTAATAACACTACAGTGTTATTGCTAATGACACTATGGTGATAGAGAAATGGGTTTTTCTCTCTATAAGGTTTTAAAACTTTGAATAAATATGAATTATAATATCTATATTTGTTCCCTCACTTACTATTCATTAGATCAGACAGCCTTTTGAGTAATAACTGACAAAACCTTTATGTTTTCGAATTAAATCCGGAGTCCTGACAACAAAAGATGACTATCCTCTGGCAGTTGCTCTATTTGTTCACAGATCTACACAGTTGTTAAGTACAGTAGAGAAAAACCAACTCCTCAAAAACAGGTAAAAAAAATCAGTGCATATGGCGCTCTGGAGACATGCATGTTTGGGTCCAATGCACCACAATAAAGCAAGTCACATGATTTTTTGTTTCCCAGTGCATATATAAGTATCTTTACTTTATCAAATAAAGTTATGTAATATTCAAAATTATTTGAAGTAATTTTAACAATGTTCACAGCATCTTTACCCAGAGCAGATTCTACATCAATAAATCACTTTCTTTGCTCCCCCATAAGAATTGCTCACCATTTGTGTTTTATCATGAATTTATAGCAACTGAGCTATATCTCCAGATTCCACTTCTAACTATTTCTCATTTCCACATTTACAATTACTTTCTCCTCTGAAGTCTTAAACCTTGTAAAGTCATCCTTGAGGGTTGGAATCAACTTCTTCCAAATTCTGTTAATATTTTGATCTCCTCCCATGAGTCATGAATGTTCTTAACAGCATCTAGAATGTTGAATTCTACCCAGTTTTCAACTTACTTTGTCCAACTTCTGAGTAAATTGATTCTATCAGAAATATCATTGTCTATGGAAGCTATAGTTTTTGAAATGTGTTTCTTAATGAATAAAATTTGAGGGTCTAAATGAACCCTTAGTCCATTAGCTGCAGAATGGATGTGGTGTTAGCTGGCATGAAAACAGTACTCATCACACGTACATCTTCACCAGAGCTCTTGGGTGAACAGGTGCATTGTCAATGTGCATTAATATTTTGAAAGGGATATTTTTTTTCACTGAGAAGATATGCTGTCATCAGGCTTTATCCTTCTATTATAGAGCATAGACAGAATCATTTTGTATAAATTTTAAGGACCCTGTGATTTTCAGAATAGTAAATGAACATTAGCTTCAACCTAAAGTCACCAGTTACATTAGCCCCCTAACCAAGACAGTCTGTCCTTTGAGCTTTGAAGTTACACATTGATTTCTCTTTAGCTATGAAAATCCTAGATAGCATTTTCTTCCAGTAGAAAGCTGTTTCATATATATATTGATTTACTGTAGCCACCTTCATTAATTATCTTAGTTAGATCTTCTGGATAACTTGCTACAGTTTCTACATCAGCACTTGTTGCTTCACTTTGCACTTTTATGTTACAGAGACAGTTTCTTTCCTAAATCTCAAGAGCCAAACTGCTAGGTTTAAAACTTTTCTTCTTCAACTTCTCATAGCCTGCATGGAATTGAAGAGAGATAGGGACGAGCTATGGATTGGGCTATGGCTTAAGGGAATGTTGTGGCTAACTTAATCTTCTATCCTGATCAATTAAACTTTCTCCTTTTGAGCAACAAGAATGTGTTCACTTGAGTGGCATTTTTCATTTGCCTTCACAACATGGCTAAGCATTTAACATGAGACCTAGGTTTTGGCACGTCTCTGCTTTTGTCTTGCCTTCCTTACTAAGCTTAGTAATTTCTAGCTTTTAATTTAAAATGAGGGATGTGTAACTCTTCCTTTTGCTTGAACACTTAGAGGCCCTTATAAATTAGCCTAATTTCTATACTGTTGTATCTCAGAGATCAGAGAGGCTTGAGGAGAGAGAGGAAGATGAAGGAATCACCAGTTGTGGGAACACTCAGAACACACACATTTATAGATTAACTTTGCTATCTTACATGAGCAATTTGTGGTTCCCAGAAAAATATAATAGTAACATCAAAATTACTGTTCACAGATCACCTTAACAGAATGAATAACGATGACGACAACAGCAATGACGACGATGATGGAAATTTTATGAGAATTATGAAAATGTGACACAGATATGAAGTGGGTAAATGCTATTGGGGGAAAAATGGCACAATAAATTTACTTGAGGGGTTGCCAGAAACCTTCAACTTACAAAAACCACAAAATCTGTGAAGCACAATAAAGCAAATTACAACAAAACACCACATGCCTATGTATTTCCCCTGTATCTGAGATGACAAATAGATTTTATATAACATTTTCATGAGATGACCCCTGAAGTCTAGGTTAATAATGTGCTTTTGTTTTGTTCATAAAAAATAAAGTTTTGTGTTTGGTTTTCTCATTCCCATCTTGAGCCCTGGCATGGAGTTCATTGTGTATCTTTGTTGTCCTACAGAGTGATAATAGCACACTCATCTTGGAGTGAGTTGCACATAAAACTAGCAGTTGGACCATAAACTTAGAGGTAATAGATGTGGTTGCTTCGCAAAGGGCTGCATCTGACTGCCAAACTGTTCATGTTAGATGAGGGAAGCAGCCAAAGTCATCCTTTAGGTACTGTGAGTCCGACTTCTCTCCTCCATTTCCTTCCTGTCTCTTCCTCTCACTCATCACACATTTTTTAGAAGGAGTGTTCTGCGTTTGGTCTTATGTTCCATGAAAAGGAGCTGAAATGCCTTTTTTTTTAACAAGTAGTGAGCTGAGAAAAAGAAAACAAATCTAATAGCTGCTTGGAGAGGAAAGTGAACTGATGATCTAATAGCTTGTTTTCACCCTTAATATCTACACTCCAAATCATGGCACATGAACCAGAAGAAGCAAAAAAACTCACTTGCTTTATGAGCAGCCCATCTGCTTCAGTCCAGAAGGAAAATAAAGTTAAAATTCCTTTTCATTTTATTCAACATTTATATTATTTGTCCTCTGTTCCCAAAGCAGATACATTATTTACAAATAGAAAGAAAGAAATGGGAGGGGGCAGGAAATAAAGGAAAGGAGTCTAGAAATTCGTGAGTATTTTCATCAATATCATCACAATTTGACTTTTTTTGGGGGGTGTGATTCCAAGGCTATAGTGTCTCAAAAGCAGACATAATAGCAGGTGGGTCAATGTGTTTTCAGCCAAAGGAAACTCATTCACTAAAAACAAACAAGCAGAAACCCAAATCATCTTAATCCTTACAGTGGAAGATAGGACTCTGGTAGTAGACTCTTTCAGACATTTTAAAACAAACAAACAGGGGCCTCCCTGGTAGCTCAAGGGGTTAAGCACATCACTATGAATCAATCCACAGCTTCGGCAGCACGATTTCAATCCCTGGCCAGCCAGGGAGCTACCCACATGGCACAGCAGACCTCTCTTGACTCTCCCGCTGCTTCATAGTGCTGTATTTCAGTCAGTCTGCCTGTTCTGTTCCCCACTCTGTCTCTGGTGGATGCTCTCACCCACCCCCCCACATCTCTGGCTTGTACCCCAGTTCTTGTCTGCATAAATAAATAAATCTTTAAAAAAATAAAACAAATGCATCTTAGTTCAAAAACATCTTAGACAACTTCTCATTCTTAGTCTCACTCAAGGATGCTTGTTGCATCATTTAATTGGCACTAACATTGAATAGCTTGGGCTCTGAGACACAATGACAATCATCAAACTTTAGTTTGTGAAACTTGTAAAAATACAGATATCTATATGTCACCTACAGATGCTCAGTGAGTAATCCAAGTCTACATTTTGAGAATTGCTACTGCTAAAATTGCTCAAAGTGGATTTTCCTTGGTAGTACTAACTCAGGCCAAACTCCCAGAACTAAGCCAAACTTATTACAGTATTTTTTAAAGGGCAAATTTTGATGACATGTATTGGAATCTGAGTGACCAATAAATCCAATTTGCTTAAGATGAAAGTCAAGACTGAGAATTTCTTCAATCTTAGGCAAACCAGAATAGTTGGTGAAGTAGGTGACTCTAAATCTGTAACTATTGGAAAAGTTTATTGAAATGTGCTTTTTTGTTCTTATCCTATACTGACCAACTAAGTGGGATAAGTAGGGACTAGGAATCTATACGTTTTGTTTCTGTTTGTTTGTTTTAGGGATGTTACCTTGCATTATAACAGCATATAAGTTTCAGGTTGCATTTTTTTTTTTAAAGCAGGTGCTATTTATGTAGTCAGAAGCTTGAGAAACACTCCTATAGAAGCTCTGTCAGCCCTGACTTACAGCTTGTCAGATAGTAGGTCTCCAAACCATACAGCTGTTGGTTTTTCAGTCAGCGGTTCCTTTATTGTTTTTTAAGATTTATTTATTAACCCAGCATATAAGAGCTGGGTTACAGGCCAGAGATGTGGGGGGTGAGAGGATTCACCAGAGGCAGAGTGGGGAACAGACAGACTGACTGAAACAAACTACTGAGGGGAGCAGCAGGCAAGGCAGGAGAGGTCTGCTGTGCCAAGTGGGTTGCTCCCTGGCAGGCTGGGGATCGAACTCCTGCTGCAGAGGCTGGGAATTGCTTCATAGTTTTGTGCTTAACCCCTTGCGCCACCAGGGAGGCCCAGCGGTTCCTTTATTAAGGACTAAAAGAATACATTAAATCTTTCACCTTTCTTTGTCCCACCCATTTCAAGGACCTTGACAGGGTGTTGTGTTAAACAAAGAGTAAAGTACCTATTAGAGCCAACTACTTGAATGGGTATAAGAATGTTATTAATTCTTACAACATAGCAGTCAAGGCAATTAAAAAAACAAGAATACTGAATGAAAATCTCTTATGTATGAGGTTAAGTGTCAAAGGAGATGGAGTAGGGAGAAGGGAAGATTTGTACAAGCAGGAGTTAGCATAATGAATATCAGACAGCAAAAATAATTACCAAAGCACAGCACCGATCAGCAACACATTTGGGAATGAAACTGTATTTCCTCACTCTCCAAACTATATGAAACATAAAGACAATAAAGCATTACTTTTATAAGCACTCTCCACTGTTCTCAAGGATACTATATGGTTCATAATTTCCCCTGAGTTGTGCAACTAACAGTTTTGCCTCTAAACAAACATACTTTTATAGTTCCTTTATATGTGAAAATACAATATTATCAGAATTTATTTACAATACACACTCCCATTTTTTTCTAAAAGAAATTTGAGTTGGTACGCAACTTTAATAAATGGAAGCAATGAATGGTATAATATAGAAATATAATTTAAATCATGACCTATGTAAGAGAAGCAAATATAGATACCATTAGTAAGAAATGTAATTAGCTAGAATTACCTGGGTGTATAGAGAGAGGTAGACATAGTGATAAGTTCCATATTTTTAATATAGAAAGAGAAACATAATAATTTTGAAAGATAATAAAATTTGGGGGGGGAAATCTTATAAAAATATATCATATAGATCTTTATGCAAGGAGTCCTGAATAATGTTTATTAAATAGTATTTCCAAACATGATGTTGCAAAGACATGGACAAGGCAATTTTCATTTGACGCTTGTTAGAAGTCAAGGAATTTTTAGTAGCCAGTGAATTTTTGATAATCTAATACTGGAAATAACTATGAGTCACTTTCTTTTCCCTTCATGGTCTGAGTAGCTAGTTTTCTTTCCCTGTCAAGTAGCACTAGCAAGATCCCAGGAAACTCTAAACTCTGTAATGAGATCAACTCTACATACCTCACTCGATCCAAAAAAAATTTTCAGGGACAATTTTTAATAATCTGTCTTATTTTTAAATAATGTGTTCTGATTTTGGTTTCATAAAATAAAATCATAGTCTCTAGAAGGTAGAGAATTACTGGAGAAAAAACTATTCATTCTTGCAATTCTGTTGATTTGCAAAGATATTTGTAGATTTCCAGGAACATTCCTAGAGGTTTTTCTTTCACCCAAAGGCAACTAAATAATTTGAATTACCAAACTTCTGAAAAATAACTTTTACTTTAAATATTTTATTATAAACAAAAACTTATATTCAAACTAGAACAATAAGAAAGTTTGAAAAATAATGTAAATTAAAGAAAATACTATTCACAATATCATTACATTCTAGAGTATGTTTCATAAAGTTTGTAATTTCAGTGCATCCAAAACATGTTATTTTCTCCCCCAAATTAATCTCCTCTTCCTGCTTTCTTATTTTGTTAGACAAACATACTCTTTCATGATTTTCCTAAACAACAAATGTCAGTCCTGCCTTAGTTCTTTCCTTTACCTTTTATGTTGTATCAGTTAGAAATCCAATCACTGAACATTTTTGACACATCGATAATATCTGTTTAATCTTCCATTTCTACTACAATGATATAAACTCAGATTTTTTTGTTGTTACTTTGTAGTCTTAGAATAATCCCTTACATTTTTTGTCCCTATATTCAATTTATTGAGCTTTCTCTCTTCAAAATATTTTAGTAACTTTCTACTTCTCTAAGGAGTAATTTCCTAAATTCCCCTCTCTTTAATCTTTTCCTAATGGGTAGCCTCAATTCCCACCTTCCAGAGTTCTAGTTTCTAGCAGCAGTAGCCTGAGATGTATAGGGGAGAAAGAAAAGAGGGAAGGGAAATATTTAGTTGTAAATTCACACATTAGCAATATTTCAAGACATAGGAAATTTATCTATAACCATCTCCCATTCTGCAATCTCCTCTCTGTTACCTTCCAGGAACCATCAGTTGCCCCAAACTTTTATTTGGAAACTTAGGGAAGGATGACCTTCCCTTTCTTCTATCCTTCATAGTTTCAATTCAAACTCTCAGCATAAATGGTCTCAGCTAAGTGTTAAAATGATAGATATCAGACTTACTAAATTCTAAGCTGCCTCCTGAAACCATATAAAGTTCCCTAATTAATAGTAATATATTTCTACTAGGTATGATTTCCAATAGCAAAAGGCAAGGTGTAAAATCTCTCATGCAGTGTGTTTGGGTTAGGAAGTATGTAGGGACAAACTTGCAACTTTTGTCATAAAGACTATTCTGGGGCAGAAGAGCTTTTTCTACATATGAAGTATTTGTAAGACAAAAGCTGCCCTCCATCTCTTCTCCCTCAAAAACTCTATGTGTACCATTAAGGGAAAAACATGTGTCTACAAAATACTAAATTGCATCAAACCCAAAACTGATCACAGTAGGAATTACATGACCATTACCTTGGCAATATTTTCCTCATTGATTGTATTTCTTTGTACTTGTTGGTCAAGATGGATGATGCCTTAGGGATCTTAAGAAGATCATAAGAAATATTTTACAGGGGATTATGATGGCAGATTATTGGTGCTTTGATGATGGGTGTGGTGTGATAACTTTCACTTGTAAAGGTGAGAACTTACACCTTTAAGACATTTACAGTCTTGTAAATCTACATGACCTCAATAAACATTAAAAAAAAATTGAAAAAAAGAAAGAGATTTTAGAACCTGGCAGAGGGTGATGTCACAGTCATGGCCTTGTTAGGCTGCTTGCCAGGGGAAAGCTAGAAACTGCCTTGAAACCATTGGCCGTACCCCCATTCCCACACTGTTGGAACTAAAGCAGGAATGAGTGAGTTTCCCACCCACCCAGGCCTCCCTCATGATGTTATTGTTTGCTTGTTCATCTTGCCCAATCAGGAGCACCCTAGCTAACAATAACTGCACAAATTCAAAAGCTGTCTACTTGAAACTGTTCCTGGTAAATGAGCATTTACATCTGTAGCAGACACAAAACCCCACATTATTTGCTTCTTCCTGCAGTTGCTATTTTCTTGGCATGCACCATTTAACCTCCTTGCATGATTTTTGGGCTTTGGCACACAACAGAGGTAGCAGTCTTCCAATTCTCTCACTTCATGGCTGCCAACAGGAAATATCCTGCATCTTTCCGGTGAACTAATTGGTTTGGTGATGCAAGGTGTACTGCAACACTTCCTATTGATGATAATGTACCCTTAAGGAAGACTTTTCCCACCAAGTTGGTACAAGTCTGCTTTGAGATTTTTGGTATTTCTTGGTTCAGAAAAAGCTATGAAACTCTCTTAAGTCTGAATCAGTCATTTGAATTTACCTACTTTTCTTTGGTGGGAAAATCTCTTTGGCTTAACAAACAGGAATTTTAAGCATATTCCTAAAGGAAATTTCAGGGGTGAAGAGGGAATTTAACTTGGTGGAGAGTATGTATGCACATACCTCACACCCATGAAATATGACAGATACACACACATATATTCACATGCCTCACATAAGGAAATTTTTGTTTTCTTTCATATGGGTTCAATAAAACTCACTTCAATTACCTATATGTAAAGTAGACATTATTGTTTTATTTACATCATGACTGATTGTGAATGATTGGTAGTGAGCTAACTGAGAGAAACTAAAAAAGCAAAATGAATAAAACTAATACAATAATAACATTAAAACCAGGGACACATCACAATTGGGTATTTTTTCATAGTAAAATTAATGAGATACTCAGGCTAATGCTGAACATTAGAACCAAAGAATGATAAAAATCTAGAAGCTACAAGTTCTACAAACTCTACCTCAAAGGGGCCATCTAACAATTACATGGAATTTTTAAGTGCAAACTTACTTTGAATATTATTTATTTAAATAAGAGCAGTAATTTTAATATCTATTTACACTAAAATAAGTATATGTCATTCTGTTTTATTCTTCACTCAAATTTTGGCAAAAAAGTAAATATCACTACTAATATTCAGATTATAATATAGGTATTGTCAGTCGCAATATAAAAATTTAAGGATGACTTCACTGTTAAAATTTAAAAACTACCAAGTTAGAAACAAAAGATGGGATTAAAAGTCAGTCAAAATTCAGGCCTCCCTGGTGGCGCGAGTGGTTAAGACACAATCTATGAAGCCATCCGCAGCCACTGCAGCACAAGTTCAATCCCATGCCAGGGAGCTACACACATGGCACAGCAAACCTCTCCTGACTCGCCCGCTGCTTAGCAGTGCATTTCAGTCAGTCGGCCTGTTCTGTTCCCCACTATGTCTCTGGTGAATCCTCTCATCCCCCACACCTCTGGTCTGTACCCCAGTTCTTCTATGCATGAATAAATAAATCTTTAAAAAAAAAGTCAGTCAAAATTCTTATATCTAAGAGGGATCAGAATAGAAATTGTATTTCTGAATGTTGCTAACATTTTGTATACTTTTATTACCACAGTGTTAGCTAATTTACAAAAATTTCTTATCACTGCATGAATTTTAGGAGAAATAGCTGGCCGAAACTTTTTGGGCTCGCTGCCATTCATTTTTCTTTTTTGTCACCTGGAGGTGGTGATCAGGAATGCTGTGGTTGTTTGAGCACATTCCTAAGAAGCACAGGCCGGAAACAAGAGGAGAGGGTCCTGGCATGTATTCTCCTGATGGATTTGAGCTTAGTCACTTTTGTGGAAAAGGATGTCAATGATTCAGCGTGTTCATCCAGTCTAACCTTTCCTTCTGCAAAAAGCAAGACTGGTTTCGTACCCTCAATCCCTCCCAAAAGAAATTCAGAAAGGATAAGAAAACAGAAATATTTGTCTTTCACTCAAGCATGGCTCAAAAATGCTAGTTCTTAAGTAGTTTAATCAGTCACCTCTATATCCCCTGTATTGTTTGAGAGTGACCCTTCCAAAGATAGGTGCCCTGGGCTTCCTTAAAGTAATCCATGAGATTGTATAATTTTATAAACCTTCATAGTACTGAGCATATCTGACTCTGTATAATTGGAACTCTTGCATTTATAGTTGGACTAATTAACTCATAAAGGAAGAATGCTTACAATGCAATTTGCTACTGTAAACGTGCTAATCTTTGACTAATAAATGAACTAAGCATTTCTGTGTAGCTTGGAACATGTTTTAAGGTTCAGGAGCATGTTCACCTCACTTTGGAAGCACAACCCTGTGAGGGAAACACTCCCACAGTTGGAATTCATAAAATGTGTGTCATTTGTCCAAACAATTCAGTTCAAGAAAACTTGCATAAAAGAAGAAAGGAAGTAATACCCTTGACAGAAATCCCCACAAGTACTAACAGTAACACTGTGCACATTCCACAATATTTACCCAGAATCCTATTTTCTGAAACAACCAAAAAAAAAAAAGGTATGCCAGATGACCCTGTGTGACTGCATGGACACTTATGGGACACATCCTGTTTCCCTTTGTGATATAAGGATAGAATAAGTGAAACCAGCACTCTCCACTTACTGGGTCATTTTTCTGCATTTATGAATTGCCTCACTGGTCGTGTAATCAAAACAGGGAAAATTTATTTCACATTAAATGCAGCCAGATGACAATAAATTGCATGCAAGCTCATTTACTCAGTTTTCATGTTACTGTTCTATGATACTTTCATCAGAAAAGTCTTATAATCAACTGGCATGTCTCATGAAAATAAGGATGGGCCCAAAATAGCATGCGCTTTTTAATCTTTTGAAACAAGACAAGCTTCCAAAATGTTATCTTTAAAAGCATCATATAATGGTTTGAAATACTGTTAGAAAGAAGTGGCAGATTCACAAATCAATTCTTCCTAACTTTACCCACCAGGTAAGTGCAAATGCCAGAAAAAGCCAAATCTAGTAAAGCAATGTATTCTCTAACTGCCACTCATGTACTGAAATGGTATAGGCACAAAGTGAGAATAGCCAGTACCTAAAATGTCTGCCAGCAAGAATGCATGCACATACAGTAAGCCATTAGCAATCTCCAGGAGATAGATAATAAATTGGTAGAATATTTGTATGCCAAATTTGAATAATAGTGTTTCTAGGTTTAAAATGGTAATGTGTTATCTTAGTGAAGGGGAAAAAATAGCTTTGTTTCTCATCAAGAACCCAAAATATTGATTAAAAAATAAACTTTGACCAAATCACTTCTGATATTTACTTGAAGCAGGAAGGAAATTAGAGACATATCTTCAGTTTTTCAGTGCAACAGACTCCTACAAGGCTTCTCATCAAGATCTGTTTTAGTATAGAATCTAAAAGCTAAGGAGAGAGTCAACACATAAGCGGAAAATCACAAAGCACATGAAGTGGAGAAAGAAAAAAGGTGTGAAGGCCAAGAGGTGGGAGATGTCTAAAGGGGAAATGTTATCAAATTTATCTAAAGGCTATTTAAAACTTGAAAAACCCCAAATGCCCAAAAATAGATGACTGGATCAAGAAGATGTGGTATATATAAACAATGGAATATTACTCAGCAATCAAAAAAGATAAACACATGCAATTTGCAGCAACATGGATGGAGCTGGAAGGGATCATGCTCAGAAAAATAAGTCAGAAAGAAAAAGAAAAATACCAGATGGTCTCACTCATAGCAGGAATTTAGAAAACCTAAATAAGGGACCAGGGAAAAGACTAATTAATACAAAGTAAAAATCAAAATCAACAAGCAACTATAAACCAGAGACACACTATGAGGGGGCGGGGAGAGGAAGGATTAGGGTCAGAATAAGAGGGGGGTGCAATTGTATGGGGAATATAACCAAAATGATAATGCATACATTGTGCAAAAATGAAAAATGATGTAAGAATTATATAAAATAAAATACTAATTAAAAAAATAAAATAAAACTTGAAAACCATTCTAATAACATAGTCTACCCTTCCTCCATTTCAGCTTTTAGATGCAGTATGTAGTAGTAAGAAATTCTGTTCTGAAGTCATTTATTTGGGGCTTGAATTCTAGCTTTCGAGTTAGGGAAGATACCTTATCATTCATGATTCTTTATCTTTGTCTGTTTAATGGCTACATTTATATTGCTGCAAATATTGGGGGAGGTGTAGTGTATGAAAAAACAGAGCTCAGGGTTTGGTATCCCCCTGGTGCTCCATAACATCTACATTTCCAGGGCCAGTTTCTCCATTAGCAACCCCACAACCTACCCCACATAGATGTGAAGAGAAACCTAAAACCATTTGCCCTAACTGCCACCTGGTGGCCCCATAAAATAGTTATAGCATTCCTGGGCGGAACATGGTGAGAAGAGAAGAGACTTGTTTGGTGGCACATGACTTTGAAAAGACAAGGGCCATTTATTTCCCTTCCTTTCTATGTGGAAAGGTGCAGAGAAGCCACTCGATATGGGAGGCATCTAGATATGAGGAAAATATTTAAATCATTGCAAGTTGGTATGTAGTAACTGCTTTATGCACTTGTTAATGGAAAACTCTTTGGCAGAGCTAATATCAGTAGTTCTAGGAAGGTAATGGGTTTTTGCCCCATTAGAAGAGAACACTTAGTAGTGGTACCATTTCCAATGTTCCCTCATGCTGCTCTTCAGGTTGGAAAATCTCAGTTGCTTCCACATTGCTTTAGGGATGTACAATAGCTTACATTGTTGTAGGACTTATATTTTTACATGGTATACCTCCTTGATCC